AAATTATTTGAAAAATTGTCAGTAGCAACGTCGATATTATCGGCATCACTAATGTATATACTCCAATCACAATTTTGTATTAAAGAAATTAATTTGTGATAGTCACCATTTTTATAATCCCATACTTTTCGTTTATAAGCTCGATTGTAATTTATATTCGAGGAAAGTGCAATGTAAGTTGCTTTGTGATCACTAAAAGTTGGGTCAATTTCAAGGACACCCGAATCACAGACCTGAATATCAAGGAAGTGAAAATTGGGTCAAGAAGCGTGCGTGTATTGTTAGAAATTCTCGTCGGTACGTGGATGTTATTGACAAGATTGGAACTTGAAATTATTTCGTATATTATGTGTGTTTGAGGAGTATGTAACAAATCTACATTTATATCACCAACAATTATGATTTTACCTGAAGATTCCCCTACTTTATCAATACTCCATGAAAGTTTAGTCCAAAAACTGGCATCAGCGTTTGGAGGTCGATAAATACAACAGAGATGGTATTTACAGGTAAGATTTTCGATTTCTAACCAAATACACTCCAAATTAACTGGTTCATAGTCCTGGCGTCTTATTGCATGGATTTGATTTGATAAATATATCATAATACCTCCCCCGAAACAATTTCTATCTTTTCTTATTATGTTACTAAAACCATCTAATAATAGATTATCATTAGTTATGGTACGATCAAGATGGGTCTCTGTAAAGCACAATATATCGAAGTCATGGACGAATGAATTCAAATACCCTAATTTGTTTCTTATACTACGAATATTTAGGTGCAAAATGTCAAGGACACTTTCGATAGTGGGTCCTGGATTGACCTCAATATCACCACAGACTAGTAGGAGAAACGTAAACAATTGCAAGTAAAAATTAATGTACACTAAGTCACTCTTAATACATGTCGTATATCTTAAGAATGATTTGATCATGCTATAAAGAACGTGCAATAAAAATTCACAAACCGAGATATGGAATGAGTAAGACTTGCATACACCTCTACAAGACGAATAAAAAAGACCAATTGCAGCACGGTATTGATCAATAGAGTCACCCATTGTCTAAAATTTGGTGAAAGTATACAATAGGAAATGAAAAAAAGGCTGCAATGGTGTTTTTTGATAAAAGTAACACACAGAATGGGACAAGTGATACAGAGTTTGAGAAATGCAGTGAAATACGTAGAGCATGACAACTGAAATTATAAAGATTATAAAATTTAACACAAAAAAATAATACAACAAAAAAGTGAACAAAAAAATAAACATTGGAAATAATAACAAACCACTGGAACTGAAAATAGGAATATTGTGTGTAGAAAATATATACAAACATTTTGTTGTACACACAATACATTTCACAATTTATTTTAACATCGTAAAAGTTTGAGGTTGATTGGACCTCAGAATCTCGAAATGTACACGAAAGTTGAACTGCACAAAACAACTAAACAAATGCAGTTCATTTTACATTTGAGTGCAAAGAAAAACTGGTGTGGAAGGAAGATTTTACAAAATTACCATATCGTGACCGAAGGGAACTAAATCTGCCTCCTCTCGAATAAAATGAACTCGATTGTTCAGATCGTATATTTTGATCTTGCCATTAGAGGAAGACACTGATTTTATCTTGTGATTTCTACAGAGTTGTCTGCCCAAGAACATTATCTTATCTCGATATTTCGTGAGATCTTCATTGATGGTAATACCAACAGTCTCTTGATTTTCTGTGAACTTTTTTGAATTTTTGACAAGATGGGATTTGAGATCCACAGACTTCAGTCTAGCAATGATTTGTCTAGGGCGTGTTCGATTGACATCACGTTTTCCGACACGATGAGATACAATAATATCCTCTCGTTGGAGAGGAATGCCAACCGCTGAAACGGCACCCATGATTTTATCTGTAGTATTTTCATTTGTTGTTTCTGGTATTCCTGAAACGCGAACCAAGGGTCTGCGACCATACTGTTCTAGCTCATCAACTTTTAGAAACAGATCTTTGTTTTGTTGTTCGAGATATTTAATTTTTTCTTGTAGGGGTTCTGTAGCTTTTTGCACTTCACTTTTAACAATGCTTTGGATTTCAGTGGTAAGTGACGCTAAGTCAGTGCTAAGTAAAGCTTTGACACTTTCTGCAATCTTTTGTATATCCTCACTACAGATTGTAATGGGCCCTGATACTACAAGTTGAGGGGTGGGGTAATGAGAAACATGATGTTGCTCACTTGGATCATCTGTTGTAAGTTTGGCACCTCTGATATTTTCAGGAGTAGATGTTTGAGTGGGGTTTAAGCTGGTAATAGGCTCCTGTTCATGAGTTTGCTCAGACAGTGAACCATCACGAGACTTCTTCGATGATTGAATTACGTCACTGAACGATCTTGACATATCTAATGAAACTTCACTAATACATCTTTTGTTTGATGAGTCTTTGCTACTCATTATGATATGATATGATATGATTCCAAAGTTAATAATATGGCAAAAAGCAAAATAATGGCGATATATTTATTCGATATCGGTCTACTAGTCTACTAGTATCTTTTCAATGGTGAGTTCATCTCATAAACAAAGACTTTGCTTTTGATGCAAAATTTCAGTCCATATCACCATGTAACATGCTATAAAGTTCTAATACAGTAATATATTACATCTTTGATAACTTACAACCGATAACTTCCTTCTATCCACACTCGTTTCCTAGTATATTACATTTATCAGCTCTGCTAGTGGAAAACGCTACCCACCATGACAGGGGCAGGTAAGTAAGTAACGTCAGTATTCTATATCGATGAGAAAAACATGTACTTACCAACTGAGGAATAATTTAAATTTAGCGTGAAAGGGACACCATACATTTTAAAGTAAAAAGTAACATAACACAGCGTTAGTCGTTAAATTTCTTCAAAGTTTTACATTTTGTGAATAATGCATAGGTTAAGAAATTAAGCTTGGGGAATAATTTATAGGGAAATAAACACAGACGACATGTAGTTATTTGTTTTTAGAACTTGTACTGAAAAATAATGACGCCACCGTGCCTTCTTTGCTACCCCAGCAGTGTTTGTCGTGTGATTTTAAACTTGTCAGACAACCATTGAAATTGAGTTCAATAAAAATAAACTCCCAAGATACTGATGTACAAGTAACACTAACTGACACAATGCGCCCTTGCTTTATTTTTCTGTTTTTACAGAAAGTTGCACGGTATACCCCGATTTTGCGGATTCAACGATACCCTGATATCGAGGACTATACGCGATTTCACGGATAATACCCGATTTCGAGTATTCTCTCCAACCTGTTAGAGGCCATGATGAAAAGAAATTTATATCTCTACTTCGTACACAGGATACTTAAATATTTATAAGACTAACTTAAACCTGCTACTCTTGAGAAGATTTCAAATGATTTTATTTACTGTATATTTTTATATGCAATTTTGAAACCAATCTAACCTATAAGTGGCCATAGTTTATATAAATTTGTATGTTCAGTACTTGAGGATATTTTTCTATTAACATGACCAGTTGAAGCACTTCTGTTCTTGAAGGGAAGATTTTTAAAGAATGCTATAATTACTTATTAATGATATTATTATTTAAACCATGACTTCACTTCAATAACAACAACAATTTCTGGTACAGTTGTTCTTAGATATGACCATATCCTAATGTTCAATTCTCCAAAAAAAAATTCTCTGTAAAAGTCACAATCCTTACAGAACAAACTTTAATTCCTAGCATCCAGGATTGCCGGGATTTGTCAGGCCTGTAGAACGCGAAAGGAGGGGGGATTTTTTTTTAATGAGTATAGTATTTTCCTATAGTAAACTTCTATATAGATGCTCCCCCACCCCCGTTTTTGTTACTGTAAGGTCGAGCATTGGCAAATTCCAGGATTTTTTGACAGTTAATCAAATTATTTTGATAAGTTACCCCCCCCCCCCTTTTGTTGGACAGTTGAGGTTTTTAATTTTTTTCTTTTATTTATTTTTTGGGACTTGTCAGATTTTTTTTTTTAGAAGTTCCTCCCCCCCCAATTTTGAAACCTTTGCTACGGGCCTGTTTGCAATCAGAAAAGCTCTTTTAATTCAGCTTTTGGATCAGGTGAGCTTTAAAGTAAAAGAAGACTTGGAAGGCAGTGGGAAAAAAAATCCGGGAAAAACACAGTGAAAACCGGGCCACATGACTTCTCTTCACAGTTTATCATTAACTTATTTTTCCATAAGCAACAAGCTGATGTCCACATGCCAAACTCTGTAACGCACAATTAAGTCAGTCGGAACGTTAAAGAAAATAAGAAAATTAATTATACTTCAGACTACCTATTACAGTTTAGCAAACGTACCGTTCTCTTTTAAAAGAATGATTAAAAAGAACGAGCCTGGTGAACATCATAGGATCTATCATGGTTATAAATTGTTAGCTGTTACAGAAGAAACCTGACAGGTACACATGTGACACTGCAAATGAAATTTTAAAAATTCCTGTTTTCTGAAATTTAATTTTCTATGAGAAGAACACTTTATTTGTTCTATATTTTTCTCCTTTGATAGTGCAGAAAAGGGAAACACTCCCAAATGTATGATTAACACTGTAACCACAAATGATATTTCACAACTTGACCTTTGACACTATAAATGAGATAACATAAAATAAATATAAAATCCTTGTTTTCCGAAATTGATTATTAAAAAAAGTATTTTTTTCCTTTATTAAGCATGAGGAGAAAAATATTATATTTCATAAAAAAGTTATGTTATAAAGAGGAAAAATATGAAAATTAAAAAGGACTTCTATTACATTTGATGTTATTTCTATATAGGAGATACTGACTAGCACTATAAATTATTAACACTATAATTCTTGTGCACACGTGATTCTTTTCTACACTTTTCTTAAAAATTATTCAAACTGTCAACATAAGTATAAATTCTTTGCTAAATGTTTCCTTCAATAAAACAATTTGAAACAATTATATAGAATCTTACCGACTAAGAAGATAATAAAAATCCCTCTAAATAATATTGTCGACATGTTAGGTATACCTTCAAGTCGCACGTTTTAAACAGACAACAGATTTTAATCAGGGGTCGTTCTATCATCATCATCACCTGTGTAAATATCGTCACGCTTGAGCGAACCTTTCACTTTTTACGTAGAACGGTCTATCCCTTATAAAGTACATTCAAATTGAAGGCAAGTGCATTCAAATGATGCACAACACTTATTCATTAAATACAAACTTTGTGATTTTTCCCCTTTTTGTTTCAGATCTTTTTCTTTTGTTTTTTACTCGGTAAACGACTTCGTTAATTTATCCATACCACACCACTGTATTTTCTTTCTTTCTTTTTTTAAATTTTAGATGATGAATTACTAAGTGCATTCAACTGATATAAACAATAATCCATCACTTGTCTGCTCAGGTAGTAGCATCTTTTGAATGATATATTTGGTATGAATCTAAAACGATATACGTATACAGTGTATCTTACATATCAAATGAAATTATTTTGCATAAGTTCTGGAGCATCAATAATTCTTGATAATCACTCAAAATCAGCAAAAAACAAAAATGAGGATTCAAAAAGAGTAAATGTCTCCCCTTTTTAAGTGTTAAGAGTTTTTTTTTTAATTTTACACTTCAAAGAATAGAAGGAAATAAAATACGGTTTACAATCATGTCAATACACAATCTTTGAATAAAAAAATTAATTAATTACAAAAAAAATATAGTGGATGTATATTGGATGTATAAAGATACTTGTCAGTACAATTTGAATTCATTGCTCTGGGATTTCCAATTTGATAAATTCAAAATTAGTGTGATTGATGTGGTATATTGTAACATATGCAGTCTGTAATTACGGGCATGACCCAGCAGAGCTGGCGATGTATTCGTTGATTGTTTGGGTGGAGGAAGTACAAGTGCCCTGAACGTCCAGCGGAAGGGCGGATCTTAGAAATTTCATGGAACAGTCACATTCTATCGGACTTCCGGTTACGTTCAAATACGAGAGTTTTGAGAGAGGTGAAAGTGCTTCAGGAATTTTACGCAGATTCGTGTTTCCTAGTTCTAAGCGTTGAAGTAGATGAGCGTCAGTTAGTGCAGTCTTGGATACATATTCCACTGGGTTATTGTTGAGGGACAATTGGTCCAGTTGCCTTAATCCTGCTAGATCACAATCTTCAATGGTAGAAATGTCATTATTAGATAAAAATAATTGTTTCAGAGCCGAGAACTGAGTGAGTTTTCCGGGAATACGCTTCATTTGATTTCCGTCTAGGTAAAGTCTCTCCACCAGTGTGTGATGGGGTATGACGTCAGACTCGACGTAATGAATTTTATTACCAATCAACTGGAGTCGTTTTACTGACGGAAAGGTATCGAATACGTTTGGGAAAGCGCTTAGCTCGTTTTCGCTCATATCAACAAATGAGACATAATTTAGCACATATCCTGGACACGGCACCAGTGGTTTTCGGTCCTGATTCAGTTTCTTATTCTTAATAAAATAGAACAATTGCATATCCTTTAGTACACATATGGCCTCCGGGACGTGTTCCAATTCTGAGTCTGATATAGTGAGCGAGGTCAAACTGTCCACACTTTTCAGAGCGTTACTGCTTAGATTTTTGAAAGGAATTTTGTCCAATGTCAAATGAACGATATGTGTCAAATTTTGGAACTGTGTTGGCCAGGCTTGGAAGTTATTTATACTTAAGCTTAACACACTTAAAGCTGGCCCAATGGTTGCCAATACATCAATATTAGTCAGGGGATTGTCTTGAACGTAAAGGGAAGACAACCCAGATATTTTCTCTAGCGCTGGAGGTATAGATTTCAGGTTGTTATCATTTAAGTAGACAACCACCGTAACATTACTGGGCATACCCGCAAACGCGTCAATATCCACACTGTCAATTCTATTATAATCCAACCTGATTAGAATGCGTCTAGATGACGCGGAAAACAGGGTGGAGAAAGCGTTTGCCTGGATGCTTGTTATGAAGTTGTGATTGAGCCCTACATAATCAGCGTGCTGATTGTAAGAGGTGAAGTTCATCACAGACGTTAGGTACCGATAACTGCAATCTATGCGATGAAATGTACACGTGCATTTATGGTTGAATGGACAGACGTCTCCAGGCAACAGGAATCCCTCCGCCATACATAAAGTGGCGACCAGTACAAACAAAGGGATCTAAAAAGTCAATTGTGAAATTAACCTTAAACATGAACTTTTTATGTTATTTTGAAATCATCAAAAGAATTTTCAAATTAAAGTTAATAAACGACTAGCTGATGTTTCATTTTGTTTCAAGACGAGGATATTAATTTTGTTGCACATCCCATGTTTTCTTTTTCACATGTTGCATCCACATGATGAACCTCTGCCATTCAGTTAACTGAATTGTGACTGAAAGTATACTGAAATGTGACTGAATGGCAGAACTCTTCCATTCAGCCTCCTTTCAAAACCTTTCAGTGACCATTCAGTTATCTGAATGGCCGAGTTTTATCCTGTGATCACCGTTTTGTATTTTTATTCTATAGATCTATTAATAAATACTGAAAAATTAAACTCTGATACAAAAAAAAATCTTGGTTTTAATTAATATATATATAAGGACGTTAATACTCAGTCACATCCATTTAAATGTATGGCTTTGTTATATTAATCGTACATATTATAAAGTTCAAATGTACAAAAAAGACCTCGTTATAATCGATCTTTACTGTATTTACATATTGTAGGTTACATATAGATTAAAGGTTAAATAAGGCTAGGTATCAAACGACAAAGTTCAACAAATTACCATGCATTCGTACAGAAGTATATGTTACTACCAGATTATTCATACTACAAATCCCTAGACTCTTCTCTTAATTGAAGTGTTTTAATGGCGTTTACTCAGACCTTTATGATTATGATACGAAATGACTTAAAGGGCTTAGAGAAGTAGGAAAATGGAAAAGAACATACTAGTTTGACGAACAGACAAACATTGAGTCATCCTAGAAACTCACGTAAGTTATGGTCAATGACATAATAGCGTGCAAAAACATAAGTATATCTAGAGCATTAGCATATAGAATAGTATATACATTTAAAAGAAATAATGGCACTGGTATGTGGATCAAAATTAATCGTACGATGAAAATTACGTATGATAGTGAATAACCATCTTAATATATATTTTTGTGCCCTGTAGAAAAAAGGCCTAAAAAGTCTGTAGCCCCCCCCCCTTTCTTTCAAAGAGAAGAAAAAGAGGAAGGGTGTAATTGCAACCAAACGAGACAGTGCAATGTATCCTCTGCGTTTTTGGATATTACACTTGTACAGCTCACCTGCATTAGAGGCGTAAAACTTTTCATTTCCCCTGTTTCACAGTGCAATAACTTTTCTGAAATAGATTTTAAATGTCAGTTCAAAATTTGATCAGTATACAAAAAAAAAAAAAAAAAAAAAAAAAAAAAATACTGGAAAAAATTTCAATTTTGCCTCTGTTCAAGATTCGTCTGTTATTGACCTATATAAATATCCAGAGAGAGAGAGAGAGAGAAAGAGATTACCGTGTTATGTTGTTAATCAGCAGTAGAACAGACAATTTATTTTTTGATTTGATCAGTAATAATTATTTAAAACTTTGTACCTACTTACCCACTGTGCGTAAGCATTCACTTCTAGGTTATCTTATCTTAGTCTGGGTCTCATCGCCTTTAAACACTTTGTCATGCCTTACGTTGAAATGACACCAATGTTAATGTCCATAGCATGATTCTTAAGGCTGCAAAGGAGAAAAAGATTGCATTTATTCAATTTCTTTATAGAAAACTAAATATAAAAAATATCATAGATTCATTTGATTGGTTGAAATCTAGCAAGATAGCACTATTCCATTGCTTATAGAAATAAATGTTGATCTTATCTCTAAACAACAAAGCTGGCTTACCAAAATATAACTAAACTTAAATTAACAAAGCTCTTAGGAAAAAGTAAATGCTTTTTTAGGAGTACTATGATCTTGGTGGCATTGTGTGTGTGTTTGTGTTGTTTTTTTTTTGTTTTTTTTTGTTGTTTTTTTTTTTTTTGGAGTACTATGATCTTGGTGGCTTTGTTTGTTTGTTTGTTTTTTGGAGTACTATAATGATCTTGGTGGCTTTTTCTTTGGAGTACTATGGTCTTGGTGGGTTTTTTTTTTTTTTTTTTTTTGTGTGTGTGTTTTTTTTTTTTTTTTTTTTTTTTTTTTTTTTTTTGAGTACAATGATCTTGGTGGCTTTGTTTTTTTTCTTTGGAGTACTATAATCTTGGTGGCTTTGTTTGTTTTGTTTTGTTTTTTTTTTTTGGAGTACTATGATCTTCGTGGCTTTGTTTTTGTTTTTTTGGTGTACTTTGATCTTGGTGGCTTTGTTCAATAAATGGAGATTTTTAGAGAAGACCGATGTTACTTCAAGTTCAAACCAATATTATTTTGAAGATACTTTGATATATTTTCAATTTTGTGGATTCACACCTGCATTGTTGGTTGATCCTTGTCTTGTGGATTCATCCCTCCTTTGTTGGTGGATCCTTGGCTGATGGATTCACCCCTCTTTTTTGGTGGATCCTTGGCTGGTGGATTCACCCCTCCTTTGTCGGTGGATCCTTGGCTGATGGATTCACCCCTCCTTTGTCATTGGATCCTTGGCTGGTGGATTTACCCCTCCTTTGTTGGTGGATCCTTGGCTGGTGGATTCACCCCTCCTTTGTCGGTGGATCCTTGGCTGGTGGATTTACCCCTCCTTTGTTGGTGGATCCTTGGCTGGTGGATTCACCCCTCCTTTGTCGGTGGATCCTTGGCTGGTGGATTTACCCCTCCTTTGTTGGTGGATCCTTGGCTGATGGATTCACCCCTCCTTTGTTGGTGGATCCTTGGCTGGTGGATTCACCCCTCCTTTGTCGGTGGATCCTTGGCTGGTGGATTTACCCCTCCTTTGTTGGTAGATCCTTGACTGGTGGATTCATCCCTCCTTTGCTGATGGCGAAGAAGAATCTCCTGTTTGACGTGTGCTTCTTTTAGCTACCATTTTTAGAATTTGTCATTGTAGATCATTTAACCACCTCCAGTCCCTGTATGTTTTTTCCTGCATCAATAGATACTATGTAAGTATAATGCTTTGAAAGAGCAAGAGCCACTTAGGGCCTTTTTTGACCCTGTGGATTTCTGAAAATTCAAAACTGCAAAGTTTTAGACAACAAGGCAATAAATTATACTTGAACACTTGGTGAATGAATATCTACTGAAAATGACGTAATTGTCTTTCTAGTCAATGTATTATGACGTCATGAATTGCGTCATTATTCACATATCCTGAATATTTCATCAAAAATGACCAAAATATGATGCCATTTTTCAATAATTCGTATACAGCACAACCTCCGATCCAAAATATGTAAATATATTGTAAAAGAACTGTTAATGAAGATTATTAAACGTATTTTAATTTTTGGATCGAGGGGTGTGCTCATATTTTAATTCTTTGCTGAAGTTATCAAAAACACCTGTTTTGTGCAAAATTCAATAACATTGCAATTTCACACAACCTGTCTTTCAATGCCTGGACTCTTCAAAGGAAATTCTGTTATATAAACTGAAAGCACTAAGTTTCTACTTTATATTAATGTTGAAAATGGTACAAGGGGTATTAGTAAATAAATTGGTATATCTACAGGGCCATTTTATGCATAAAGTGAACCTAGCTCTTTGTCCATTGATATGGACTTTAAAACGAAATGTAGAGAGCATACTAATATGACTCTAGTTCAATAGTATATGTAGTAAGAAGTTTTTTTAAGAAAATAAAACAACACTAGTACAGTAGTAGGTATTATGTAGGGAGACAACACTAGTACAGTAGTAGGTATTATGTAAGGAGACAACACTAGTACAGTAGTAGATGCTATGTAGGTAAACAACACTAGTGCAGTAGTATGTACTATGTAGGTAAACAACACTAGTACAGTAGTATGTACTGTGTAGTAAACAACACTACTGCGGTAGTATGTACTATATAGGTAAATAACACTAGTGCAGTAGTATGTACTGTGTGGTAAACAACACTAGTGCAGTAGTATGTACTATATAGGTAAACAACACTAGTACAGTAGTATGTACTATGTAGGTAAACAACACTAGTACAGTAGTAGGTATTATGTAGGTAAACAGCACTAGTACAGTAGTAGGTACTATGTAGGGAAACACACTTGTACAGTAGTAAGTATTATGTAGGTAAACTACACTAGTGCAGTAGTAGGTACCATGTAGGTAAACAATACTAGTACAGTAGTAGGTATTATGTAGGTAAACAACACTAGTACAGTAGTAGGTACTATGTAGGTAAACAACACTAGTGCAGTAGTATGTACTATATAGGTAAACAACACTAGTGCAGTAGTATGTACTATGTAGGTAAACAACACTAGTACAGTAGTATTTACTGTGTAGTAAACAACACTACTGCGGTAGTATGTACTATATAGGTAAACAACACTAGTGCAGTAGTATGTACTGTGTGGTAAACAACACTAGTGCAGTAGTAGGTACTATGTAGGTAAACAACACTAGTGCAGTAGTAGGTACCATGTAGGTAAACAACACTAGTACAGTAGTAGGTATTATGTAGGTAAACAACACTAGTACAGTAGTAGGTACTATGTAGGGAAACACACTTGTACAGTAGTAAGTATTATGTAGGTAAACTACACTAGTGCAGTAGTAGGTACCATGTAGGTAAACAATACTAGTACAGTAGTAGGTACCATGTAGGTAAACAACACTAGTACAGTAGTAGGTATTATGTAGGTAAACAACACTAGTACAGTAGTAGGTACTATGTAGGGAAACACACTTGTACAGTAGTAAGTATTATGTAGGTAAACTACACTAGTGCAGTAGTAGGTACCATGTAGGTAAACAATACTAGTACAGTAGTAGGTATTATGTAGGTAAACAACACTAGTACAGTAGTAGGTACTATGTAGGGAAACACACTTGTACAGTAGTAAGTATTATGTAGGTAAACTACACTAGTGCAGTAGTAGGTACCATGTAGGTAAACAATACTATAGTACAGTAGTATGTACTATGTAGGTAAACAACACTAGTACAGTAGTAGGTACTATGTAGGTAAACAACACTAGTGCAGTAGTATGTACTATATAGGTAAACAACATTAGTGCAGTAGTATGTACTATGTAGGTAAACAACACTAGTACAGTAGTAGGTACTATGTAGGTAAACAACACTAGTACAGTAGTAGGTACTATGTAGGTAAACAACACTAGTGCAGTAGTATGTACTATATAGGTAAACAACACTAGTGCAGTAGTATGTACTATGTAGGTAAACAACACTAGTACAGTAGTATTTACTGTGTAGTAAACAACACTACTGCGGTAGTATGTACTATATAGGTAAACAACACTAGTGCAGTAGTATGTACTGTGTGGTAAACAACACTAGTGCAGTAGTAGGTACTATGTAGGTAAACAACACTAGTGCAGTAGTAGGTACCATGTAGGTAAACAACACTAGTACAGTAGTAGGTATTATGTAGGTAAACAACACTAGTACAGTAGTAGGTATTATGTAGGGAAACACACTTGTACAGTAGTAGGTATTATGTAGGTAAACAAAACTAGTACAGTAGTAGGTACCATGTAGGTAAACAACACTAGTACAGTAGTAGGTATTATGTAGGTAAACAACACTAGTACAGTAGTAGGTATTATGTAGGTAAACAACACTAGTACAGTAGTAGGTATTATGTAGGGAAACACACTTGTACAGTAGTAAGTATTATGTAGGTAAACTACACTAGTGCAGTAGTAGGTACCATGTAGGTAAACAATACTAGTACAGTAGTAGGTATTATGTAGGTAAACAACACTAGTACAGTAGTAGGTACTATGTAGGTAAACAACACTAGTACAGTAGTAGGTACTATGTAGGGAAACACACTTGTACAGTAGTAGGTATTATGTAGGTAAACAAAACTAGTGCAGTAGTAGGTACTATGTAGGTAAACAACACTAGTACAGTAGTAGGTACCATGTAGGTAAACAACACTAGTACAGTAGTAGGTACTATGTAGGGAAACACACTTGTACAGTAGTAGGTACTTTGTAGGGTTAACTAATGATACGACACTAGTACGGTACATTGTATACGTTTTCTATAGTGACTACTCATGATAATACATTAGTACGGTAGTATGAGTTCCATAGAACCTATATATGATATAACACTAGAATGGCAGTGTAGCATAGAGAGCTTACTAATGATAATGCGCTAGAAGGGTTACTAGTGTACCAAGTAGAGACTATATATGATTTACACTAGAACAGTAAGGTACTATGAGTAGTATGTAGTGACAGATGAGCAGTTAGAACCTTACTATGTAAAGCATAGTAATGATATGACACTATAACGGGTAAGTAGTGTATATACACCGGGAAAAGTGGCTCGCATGAATTTCATATGAAATTCGCATGAATATCATGCGAATTCTTCGCATGAGAAGGAGACGAAATGGACCATGCATGATATTCGCACGAAAATATCATGCGATTTTCACATGAAATTCGCACGAATATCATGCAAAAAGAAATTCGTGGGAAATTCATGTGAAAAAAGAACCCAGGTTTCATATGAATATCATGCGAAGACAAGCATATTTTTTGTACCCCAGAAATTAATATCAAGCTATTATCTATGAGTGCCCCAAACCTTAATCCATTAATTCTATCCTTCTTCCTTGGAAAGAGAATTTTTGCTTCTTGCAAATGAATTTTTCTTGAACATTTACCATGAATTTAATATCCTCTCTTTTTCTTACTTAGTCAGTTAATTCAGATACAAGTAATGCATGGTTTTACAAAAAGTAACTTTGAATTTGAAAGAATCAAAACTTTTCTGGACTCCCTGACTAAATAAAGACATTTGTGACATATTAATTTCTACATTGAAAACTAAAACCATTGATCTGTTTTTTTAATCTTCTTTATTGAGGTTGTCATCACATAAGTTTTCTTTATCTTGAGGATTCTGTTGAGAGGGTGTTGTTGTTATACCTGAAAATACAAAAGTAAACAATCTCAGGTTAATGAAATTCATAACGCACAATATTTTTTTAAAATTAACTATGACTACCCTAGGTCCTTAAGTAGGATTAATACCTCTTGGTCATAATCACCTGTATGCCAAGTATGTTCTCCAGATACTACTCCAATAAAAAGTTGTATTTTCTGAGATACTTCTATCAACTCTATGACCTTGACCTTGTCTTATGACCTCTGTTCTGGAAATGGCATATCTTATCATCATAATCAACCATTAGGGCAGTATGATCTTTGGTAGTTACTTTTTTTCAATATACAATTAAATAATTATGTTATGGCCAAGAATTCAAACTTCAATCCCTGTGACCTTGACATTGCTTAAATGACCAACATGCAGGGTTGTTTCACTGCCTCTGGTCATAATTAAGCAACCTTTGTATTTAGTATATA